AAACAGTCTAAGAAAATATTTTGATAATATTCAGGATAAAATTACAATGAAATTACATAGAGAAATGACCTATACGAAGAAATTTAAAGGGAAGAAAAATAAAATCTTTTAAATTTGAAATAAATAAAAATAATTGAAATAAATAATCTAAAAAAATGAAATTGTGCAAGTTAATTTTTCATTTTCAATCCGTAAATTCTTCGAAATGATAGGGAAATATTCACTTTTTTCGCTTCCAATCCTTAAATTTTTAATTCCCAAGTATTCTTTATTACAATATTTCAGATTATTTTATCTTAGAATGTGAAAATTTAGCAAATTCCAAAGAATTTGAGGATTTAGAGAAATTCGTTTCTATAATTCATTTTTTCTGGAATTATCGAGGTGTCGAAATTCAGGCAGACGAATTTTATTTTATTTTCTCGCAGCCCGGGAAACATCCGAATTCCGAGTGAAACTCGCGCCACGAGGATGAAAAGAAACTTCAAGTACAATCAAACAAATTGTGTACAGTTCGAAAGTAGAATGTGAATAGACACACAAAGGGAACTCATTTTTCAGGAATTGAAGCAACAATATTTTATCGCACTAGCATCACGTCAAGTCCACTGAAATAATTTACTTTGGAAAACCCTCCTCTCTTGTTTCTTTTTTCCATTTCATCCTTTCCATTTTCATCGATATTTCCTTGGCAACCTGTTTATAATGCCAAAGGAATGTGCAGTATCAAAGGGACAAGGTGGAAGCAGTGCAATCAATTTACCTAGATCCAAGGTACCTGGTATTTCGTTACGAATTGTGTTAAAAGTACTTCCACTACTCGGCAAAAGTTCGATAATGCACAAAAAAGAGGGCGGTAAGATAACGAAAGAGGAGAGAGGGAGAAAGGCTGGTCGTAGCAATTTTCCATGGAAAACATTATAAAAGCAAGACTCAGCATAGCATTTAATCTGGTGAAGTGTACCAGGGGGAAAGGTTGCGTTGACTAAGCGGGTAAATGGAACATATATAGTATATTATCAATGAACGAATAGGCTGTCGCAGTGGAATAGGTTTGTTATTGCCAGGCAGATCAATCTTCGCCACTAGTGTTATACTACTGATGGTATTAATTATAGTTAAACACTCAGTGCATTGCATATGTATGACTGTAATATTGTTGATATTTGCAGTTGACAGTACGTTTGCTATTAGGGAATTGAGCAGGGACATTTTGCATCAAATAAATTGGATTTAATAGACTAATTAATTCTCTTCGGAAGCACGTTCGTTTATGTATTTCATTAAATGTGAAGTGATTATTCTCATTATCATTATCATTTCATTACTGTAAAGAATGACTATTCGGCAAAATTCAAAAAATCTTCAATTTACACTGTTGTGTGTAACATTAGTGCAACGTTAAAACATCGAATAATAATATATCCTTTCGTGCGGAATATAATGTCGGTGTTGTTATAGTATTCGTATTTTTAATTTTAAACAAAAAGATTGCCAAATTAAACATTCTTTCGTACAATTTTCAATACAATAAAATGCCCATAAATTGTCACTTATATATTTAAGAAAAGAGAAAATCATTTAAACACACGTCTTCAAGACTTCCATGAATAATTAGAAATTGATTGTTTTGAACACTACTCTGATAGCTCCATCTCCTTCAAACTGAATATAGATCACAAGCAAATCACGAACAATAAGACTCGCGAACAATAAGGAGGATATAATCGTTTAATAATAACACATAGCACGCTATCAAACTTCATTTACGCGCAAGGTCGATCCAGTGTTCTCGCGACTCGGTGGAATGAATTTCGATTGAAAGGGTTTTCCACTTGCCTCGTGTGCCACTTTGATCACGATCCTGTTAAATGTTTGCCATTCTTGAATGGCTCCCGGCGCGGACAATACGCGTTGTTCTCTCTTTCTTCTTTTCGCCGCGTGCGTTTTATTTATATATATATATATATGAATTTTCTATAATTAAAACAAGAAAGATAGAGAGAGAACGAAGAGAAAATCCTCGAGAAAGATCGCCCCCTGACGCCTTGAGAATTTGTTTTCATTCCTTTTCAACGATACTATAATCGTTTGCCGAGTAAACAATTCACGAACATCGAGTTTCTTTTATTTTCCGCGTATTTTATTTATATAGCGATTTTCATTATACATTTTATTCGAATACTAACAATAAGTATTAAAACTTGCAATTCTGTAAAATTATACAACAAGCTTGGGCTCGTTTGAAAACTTGGAAGTGTGCTCTATACTTTCGAAGTGTATCGTTTATTTTATTGTAAAATGTTTTACATAATGAGTGGGTGAGCGAAGATACTTTTCCTCTTGAAAATGCCATAAATATGTCAGAGTGTTAAATTTTTTTTTTTTTTTTTTTTCTTAGGACTGAATCTACAGTGGATTTGAAATCAAAAAGTTTGATGTACGATTTTTTCGAAATTCAAGAAATCGTCGTCACTTC